GCAAACCGCTTTCAATTCATAAATTCGCCAGAGTTTAATCGAAATATCGAAATTTTAACTTTTTGACCAATTTTGGCAGAAATTGCTTATCTAGAGACTATGCGACTATGGAAAGTGGTACACAAAGTAGCCCAGGCCTCTAGTAGTAGATCCTGAGTTTTCCCATTTTTTATGGTTTTCTGTGCTCAATTCAGCACAAACTATACTGAAACAGACAAAACATTTAAGTTGGGTTGTGGGTTTTTTCTTATGTTAACTTAAAGTAACACCAAACCACATAAGTTTTTTGAAAAATCGGAGCAGATTTCATACCACCCGGATCTTTCGAGAGGCCAAATGGAGGATATCACTTTGAGTTTCCTCACGATAAGATCTCACAACACATGTCCAAGCTCTCCGGAGCAAAGCACACTGAAAAAAAAGAAGAAACAAGTTGGTTTTTGCAATCGCTAGCGATAGCAATATTCGTCATGGGAACTTTTGCTTCTGGGATATGAAAATGTTAAGGTACAGTTCGTTTGTAGTATCTTCAGGATTGAAGGGGCTATGTAATTTTGTGTCGACATCTCTTTTTTAACATTTTTAATTTTTTTTCTTTGCATACAAGAAAGCTGTTATATTTACCAATTATTTATTTTCGTTGGATTATGTATGGTTTTCGGAAGTTAACGCATTTAACTTTCAGTTTCGTTTTTTCGGCGTAAAGTATGATATTTTTACTCCACGCATATGCCCGAATGCGCATCATAAGTGACCTATGTGCTTCCTAAGTTGCCATTTTTTTCATTCAAATAGATGTAACTGAAATGTTAGATGTGTACTACCTATACTACTTTCATGTCATTGCTTTATTTATTTATTTATTTATTTACTTTTTGCGTAGGTATAAATTGTTATTTTTTGCTGAATTTTGGAGAAAATATTGCTTTAAGAACGTGGAATGTAAATTAATTTTATTGAAAAAAGAAAATACCATCATTGATTTGGGCGAACAGAGAAAATATACATCAATATTTGGGTCAACATCTCCCTGATTATATAAAGGATGAATATATTAGTATTTCTGTATCAAAAAACTTAGCTTTTGTCTTCAGAGATACAATGATTCTAGTCCCAGTCAATTTGTTGTATTGAAAAAACAAAAAAACAAAAAATAAATAAAAAAAAAAACAACTGAAATGTTAGACATACTATTTTCATGTCTTTCTATTTGTATCAATAGGTACTTTTTGCTTAACTTACGAACGTTGAATGCAAATTAACTTTATTGAAAAAAGAAAATAACGTCATTAATTTGGGGGAACATGTGGCTGATTATATGAAGGAGGTATATTCCAGTATTTTTGTTTAACATATTAACTCACGAGAAAATGTTCGTACATTTATCATCTAGTATTAATTATTTTTTGATGATTGGTCTAAAACATTCAATACAACCATTAAAAAGTAACACCTATCGTCGGGTATCGAACTCCCGATCGCCTATTGCCCGCACCTTATCAAAATAAGAGGCGCCTCAGTCAACTAGGCTATCACAGATCAGCGACAGTGCGAGAAAAAATAGCATTTAAAAGACTCGGACGATGGGCGGGACTTATCACAAGAGTTGTCCTTGAGCGATTCGGCGATTCGCGTCTTCGTAGCTTCTGGAAAAACGAGCTAAGCGCCTTTCTCTGTGAGACATTGTTTGCCTATGCTATCATGTGTCTCAAGGTTCATATCAGCAGGCATTTGCCATCGCGGCAGTAAGCTCAGGCAATATTTCTGTATTCATGGAATACATCAATCAATCGAGTTCCGATTTTGGCTCATATATCCGTAACGAGTCCTCCAGAACAATTTTCCACCTTGTACGATGGTTATTATTTCTTTACTTCTATTTTTCAAATTTGAGGTGGGATAATGGCGGCTTCTCAAGAGCAACGAGGTAGGCGATCTTTTGCACCAACGAACAGAAAACTGATGGCGAAAAATAACCAATCAGAACCTCCCAAAAAAAGGAATTTGCCTAAAAACGGAACTTCGTGGTTCTGCGCAGATTTACCAGTCAGACACGACATCTGAAGGTGGAAAAAAACTCGCTGAAAGCGAATTTTAGCAATCAACACAACTTGACGTAGAGACACGATTGGCTAAAAAATACAACGGTTTTTGATACATCGGAAAATCAACCAAAAATCGGAGACTGGGCGAAACGCTCAAGGTCGCAGAGGTATAGGGAATCCCATAGCGAAAGCAACGGAACGATTGTAATATCATGGGGAACTCCGTTCCCATGACAAAACTCCGTTCCCATGACAAAAAACCCGCTTTAAAAAATATCGAGATTCAACTTCTTGACCAGTTTCGGCAGAAATTGCTCATCCAGAAATCATGCGACTATGGAAAGTGGTACATAAAGTAGCCCAGGCCTCTACTAGTGGACCCTGAGCTTTCTCATTTTTTACCAGCTGTATTACACAGCGTGAAGGAATGGTAAATTCTACCAATCTTCCAGTCGATTCTGCCAGAGAAATGGTTACCCGTACTAGTATATAGTAACGTTTACCTTTCTTCTGGCAGAACTGATTCTGAATTGACGCTGTATGAAATACAGCGTGAAGGAATGGTAATTTCTACCATTTTTTTTTTTTAGTGCAAGCTCTCCAGAGCAAACAACAGTGCTTACCTGTGTATCTTCCTCTGTAAAGCTGCAAAATGTGATGAATCTAGTTTGTTCGAGTTGGCACATGTGCGTCATAGGAAAGGAGGGGCGGAAAGGTGAAGTCTGACAATTGGCAGTGGTTGCGACAACAGCTGCCAGCCGCTGACTTCATCTCGGAGATTAACAAGTTGTTTTTAGACCGGCACCGCACCATGCCGATGACCATGCTCTACGCAATCGGAACCTAGTTGAACACAATTACAACTATTGATTCGGAGCTTATGCACATTTTTCCGAGTCAAATTTTTCGAGAAATATCAATATAGAGGACCGCGCCCCCTGCCGTCTCCGTGAACAGCCTCTTCGTGTCCATAGGAATATGCTCAAACCGTGCACTGAAAAAAAAAGATTGGTAGAATGGACCACTAGACAGGGTACAAATTTTAGCATTCTAATACATGTTTCTGAACGAAAATTTCACGTAGGACACGATTCGCGCAACAAAAGTTACCGAAATAAACTCCTTACGAAGATATTAACGTTTTTATTTTACATCAGTTACGAGGAATTTGAACTGGCCGCTCACAAGAAACTCAAAGCTCTACGTGAGTCAAATCGCGCACTACAATGGTTTCAGCAAGCTTCTCAATCGAGCAATGTTCATTTCCCACCATATGTTATTCAAACTATAAGCAATTTGCTATAGCTGAGCCGAAGCGTCAAGACTGAGGTTGCCAGATTTTTATATCGCTGAGACGTTCATGATAACGTTTAGCGCGCGATGTGAATCACGTAGAGCATTGAGTTTTCATGAGCGGGTGGTTTCAGTTCACGCATCAAGAATCATTAAATATCTTCGTAAGGAGTTAATTTCGGTAATTTTCGTTGTGCGTATCGTGTTTTACGTGAAATTTTAGTCAGGAATCATGTATCAGAATGCTGAAATTCGTACCTTGTCAATTGGTCCATTTACCATTCCTTCATGCTGAATTCCACACAGCGTGGAGGAATGATAAATTCTAACATCTTCAAGTCGAGTCTGCCAGAGGAATGGTTACCTGCACTAGTATATAGTAACGTTTACCTTCAGAATTGACTCTAAATTGACGCTGTGTGAAGAAAAGCGTGAAGGAATGGCAAATTCTACAAATCTTTTTTTCAGTCTATACATTTCACGGGCCAAAAAGCGAAACCCCTTATCTTCATTACCGTGTTTCAAAATATCCGCTACTATTTTATTTTCATGAAGAGAAACAAGCTATATAGATTCTACTCACAGAAAGGGAAAATTAAGATAGTTTTCAAGGAATTACGTTGAACAGATATCCAAAGAAAATAATGAGAGGATTCTTTCCTTCGAAATAAAGTGGGCATGAAAGGTAGACTGCTACGTTACAAGCAAGGATACGTGGTTTCGCACTTTAGCCATCAATTTGCGGAATGATTTTTTCTTTTAATTTTGTTACTCTAATTTGATGCGCCTTCATTTAGCCTTGATACTTGCCTCGGGAAAGCGCGCCTTGCTGGGTCTTGAAGAACTTCCTCATTTACTGCGCTGCTATGAAAGTTCATCTCAGAAGTCTTGCACTTAGACTTATTCTAAAAGTCAACTTGATTTTTTACACAGGCATACTATTCAGTGAAAATAGCCAGAATTATGCTGCCGTGCTAAGGAAAAACGCTGTATGAACATTCGAGAATTGCCAAATTTTCTTTGATAAAACACATATTTGTGACAACATTCTTGGATATCTTTCCTTGAAATTTGCAAATATTTTAGATTAAAATGCGTACAAAATTGTCTGAAAATTTTGGAAAATAATATTCAAAATTTTTCCAGTAAATTCGGTTTTTATTGAAGGAAATTTGGCAACGCCAAAGGTTCATACGGCGTTCTTCCTTAGCACGGCAGTATGGTAGTATTCACCAGACTTCCGTGATACTTACTATATAATGGTAAATGCTACCATAGTGTTTGGCGTTTATAACAATACTCGTATCACTGTGCCACAGTATAGTAAAATCTACCATATCGACGGTGAAAGTCGGCAATCACATAACTCGTTTGCGGTGTTTGAAAATCTCCGCCTCTACGTCATTTTTTTAAAGGAGAACAAATTGATATTATTTCTTGAAGTTTTTGCAGAATTTTCTTCGCATTAAGAAGAAAAATCATGACAGTTTTAAAGAATTGCCGTTGAGTAGTTTTCCATTTAAAAATAAACTATGACAAGAAGTCTGCGACGTCGCAAACCGAGTTATGTGATTGCCGACTTGCACCGTCGATATTTCTCTCCTATGTTGCATTTGTTTAATTTTCCTCCTAATTTCTTATTTTTTTCCCATTTGTGCGCAGAATCGAGTCCGGAGAAATGCGTGTGCGAGGCGGAGCCGAATGACCAATCGGATGTGCCGCTCCGATCGGACGATGAGGCCTGGACGGAGGATGTGGGCGCGGGGCGGACCCCCCAGACAACCAACCCCCCCGTGGACGTGGCCTCTCGCCTTCCGCCCCTTCCGCCTCCGCCGATAGGCGATCTCTACAACCTCACCCAACTCGCGGAGATCAGCCTCACGTACTTCAAACAGCGCCTGGACACGGACCTTGAAGCCAACCGGAGTAAAGGGCAAAACAATGAGGTTCGTCCTAAAACTTGAATTTCCTTGGAATTTAGACCGCGTTAAGCATACACTGAAAAAAAATCTCGGTGCATTTACTAAGAAAAGGGCAAAATTACCAAGAATTCAGGGCTCTATTTGATCCCAGTTTTTTCTTGGTAAAATTACCATTTATGGAATCGGTAATTTTACCGAGAAATCTCGGTTAAATTATTGAACTTTCTCGCTAATTTTACTGGACCTTGGTAAAAACGCCAATATTTTTTATCGACTGTGGTAAAATTACCGAGATAAAATGGCGAAGTTACCGGGAATTGATTATCAATAAAAGTGGTATTCTTACCTGAAAAAAACAGTGAAAATACCGGTTTTTAGGTAAGCTTACCAGTCCGTCTTGGTAAAATAACCAATAATTGGTAAAAAAAAAAGTGAGATGATAAAGGTACCAACGGACTTTGGTAAAAACGCCGAGAATTTTTTTTCAGTGTAGAGTACCGATGCTGCCGTGCTAAGGAAGAACGCCGTATGAACCTTAGGGCGTTGCCGAATTTCCTTGGGTAAATCACGAATTTTCGGGAAAATTTGTAAATATTTTTCCCCCGATTTTTCAGATAATTTTGTTCGCAATTTTACCTGAAGCTCTTGGAAACTTTCTCGGAAAAATATTCATAACTTTTCTAAAAAATTTCATTCACCTGAAAAAAGTAAAATGGGATTGCGGAGATTTTTAAACATCGCCAAAGAGATACACGGTTTGACAGTGTCACCGTCGATATGCATGTCATGTTTGAATGAAGGCTAAACCTCTATAGCAGGATCTATTTGACAACTTTCAGGTGATTTGTTGACCCTGTTGTCCCCCTGAATTTTTAATACCATGTCTACATGTACTTACCTCCTGATCGTTTATCTGAGTTTCGTCGTATCATTCATAGCGTTCTTTAAACCTTTGTTCACACAGGCCTCTTAAGCTCTACTATTCGATGCCGCGATTATCCTAACGCGAGTTCAAAGAATCACGACGAGCACAGTGCGGCCGGCGTTAAACGTACAGTTGCACCTGCAAGACTGTAGGAATACTTCACGCATTGCGCAAAACAGTGCGGTCGGCGCAAAGCCCTTATTAGCGCCTACAAGACTGTTTGGATACTTCCCGCATTACGCCAAACGCAGTCGGTCAGTTTAGGCGTGCAACCCATATTAGCGCCTACACTGCCGTGCTTCGGAAGAACGCCGTATGAACCTTTAGGAGTTGCCAAATTTCCGTTGGTAAATCACATATTTTCGGGAAGCATATCAAATATTTTTCTTCCAATTTTTCAGATAATTTTGTTCACAATTTTACCTAAAGTTCCAGAAAATGTCTCCAAAAAATATTCATAACTTTCCTCAAAAATAAACATTTTATCGAAGGGAATTTGGCAACTCTCGAATGTTCATACGGCGTTCTTCCATATCACGACAGTGTATACTGAAGAGTATTGCCATCTCTGTGTCGCTCTCTGATTGGCTCATCAGTTTTAGACTATCGTGGAGCTCCAAAGTTGACCTAATGTAAACAAAGCCGACCCAGAGGAGCACGTATTACCGGCTGAGAAATGAATGATATTCACACAAAAAGGTTAATTTTCGGCAAAAATAGCCATCCACACTCGAAAGAAAGTCGCTTGGATCTAAAGTCCAGACTCTTGAAAACAATGGCAAGAAAAAGTACTCTTGATTCAATTGGATTTTTACTTGAATCATCAGAAAGAAATCCGCTTAAATTAAGAGGCTTGGTTCTCGATTTAAGCAAAAATCCGATTGAATGAAGAGTATTCTTTCTTGTCAATGTTTTTAAGAGTCTGGACTCTAGATCCAAGCTACTTTTTTTCCAGTGCAAACTCAATCCAAACTCAATACAACAACTCAACCCCAACCAACCCAAACTCCAACTCCTTTTCGATCCAAACTCGACTCAGAAGTTGGATATGAAACAATTTCTATCACATCCAAAATCACGTCAAGAACTTTGTAGAACTTTGTCGCCATCTTGTTTGCTTACAAAGGGCCAAACCATGAGTGGGGGAACTGGGGTTTGTTTACATTAGGCCAACTTTGGGGCTCCAAGATAGCCGACCAATCAGAGAGCGACACACTTTTTCTGTAGTAAAAGGATTGAGATGGCAATACTCTCCCGTATGCAGGTGCTCTCATTAAGCAGGAGAGGAACCAAACCACATATCTACGGTGAAACTACCAGACCACGTATCTGGTTTGCAGTGTTTAAAAATCTCCACTCACATTTTATTTTTTTGAAGGAGATCGAATCAATATCATTCCTCACAATTTTCACAAATTTTTCTCCGCGCAAACAGGAAAAATCACGGAAGTTTTCACGAATTGACATTGAGTAGTTTTCCATTTAAAAAATAAAGTATGACGGGAAGTCTGCGACGTCGCAAACCGAGATACGTGGTTTGGTAGTTTCACCGTCGATATACTATTGCCAACTTTAATTCAGCAATTAATTTTTTACATGAAAACGGTTGTGTGGATTTTAGTGCGAATTTCAATGAATTTTCTGCGTAGTACAAAGCAAATTTCTTAAAATTTTCGCTAGTCTCTCTTCACCCATTCGGTCATCGTGCTCCTGTACACTTAAAAAAAAATCTCGGTATATTTACTGAGAAAATGGTAAAATTACCAAGAATTCAGGGTTCTATTTGATCCCAGTTTTTTCTTGGTAAAGTTGCCATTTATGGAATTGGTAATTTTACTGAGAAATATAGGTAAAATTATTGAACTTTCTCGGTAATTTTACTGGATTTTTTAGCGACTGTGGTAGAATTGCCGAGATAAAATGGCAAAGTTACCGGGAATTGATTACCAATAAAAGTGGTATTCTTACCTGAAAAAAACAGTAAAAGTACCGGTTTTTGGGTAAGCTTACCAGTCTGTCTTGGTAAAAGTACCAATAATTGGTAAAAAAAAGTGAGATGGTAAAGGTACCAACGGACCGTGGTAAAAACGCCGAGAATTTTTTTTCAGTGTAAAGATATTTTGAGGAAACTAACTGAACTCTGGTGAACATTTCAGGATGATGAAATTTCGGAGAAGAAGGAGAGCCCTGCCCAAGGGCACGTTTGTGGGAAGTGCGGGAAGAGCTACAGCACGTCGAGCAACCTAATCAGACACCGGCAGACGCATCGCTCGCCCGAGGACAAGAAGGCGCGAAAGTGCCCTCACTGTGGCAAGATCTACGTCTCCATGCCGGCCTTCTCCATGCACGTCCGCACGCACAACCTCGGCTGCGAGTGTCATATCTGCGGCAAGTGCTTCTCCAGGCCCTGGCTCCTCCAGGGACACATCAGAACCCATACAGGTAACGCTCCACTGGCCCATGTGTTCCAAAATACCGGTTAGATCGGAGACAAGAGACCCTCCACCGGCCTCTTCGCGACAGGTGGGAGCTTTTACTTTCGGGGATTGAACACTTATTCCTTACATAGACAATTATAAGGGAGCAACAGTTATCACTCTTTTTTCGGCTGTTGACCTACCTACATGGTGGATGTTGAGCTTCGGGTGAGGTTATGAGCCAAACAAGTTTCCCAAACTTCGGACTGTTTTGGCTTGTTTGCAAAACGAAACTGTAAACTCGTTGTTAAACATCAACCATGTAGGTAAGTCAACAGCTAATGTTGAAGTCCTGAAATTAGATACTAGTGGAGAGTCTCTTGTCTCTCGGTTAAATGGGGGCAGTTCAAGTCATATTCAAGTATGGCGTAGGCATGGATGGAACAAGAAATTTTCGTTGGTGGAGCAGAAAGCGCTTCATGAAAGGGATTCTGCTGGGATAACTGAGGGAAACAGAGAGACATCCTGGCGATAAGGGTCTAACATTTTCTGCGAGAGATCAAGTATACTTTTGGGGGACCAGGCCCTCCCCCTTCGACACCTCCCCAGTTTTTCAGAAGTTTTTCAGAAAAAAACGAAAATAGCCTGAAAAAGACTTAATTTTTCTGAGACACCTCACCGTCGGTACGCATCTACCTCATAATCAGATATTACTAAACAGGAGTGTATTCAAGTGGAAATGTCGAAAAAGAAATGGGCCATACCTTCAGATAAATGAAAAGCACCTGAAACACCATGTAGCGTAAATAAGTTTTAGTTGGTTTTTTACGAGTTCAAAGGAAAAAGTCAGCGATCTTTAATAAGTTACAGAGAAACAACTCAAAACGGGACTAAGGCCGCAAATAATAAAAAGAAACACATAAAATAAAATAAGAAGCCCGGGACGTTTCGCAGGGATCGCACCCGCATTTTCAGCCGGCAAAACAAGAAAAAATTAAAAGAAAGGACACTATGAGCCTCACCGTTGTTATCGTGAGACTGATAACAAGTGACTGTGATTTAACAAGTTAGCGATAGCGCCTTCGGGGAATACCACTATTCGATCTTGAGGGAGCCCATCTTGCCTACTCTGCGAATTGAAGGCTAATGTACCTGCCACGCTTCTTATGACACGAGCTTAGCTTTGCGTAGATTGACTCAGGGCAAATGGCAGTAGCATGATGGTAGACAATGTTGATAAAGGGTCTTCTATGTTAACATCTGTCATAATTATGAGTGGTGATATTAAAATTACATGTGTATTTTTATAAACTTGGACGAGTGTGGTTCTCTGGAAATGTAAGAATTATTTTTCCTTAGTATACTTTTTTCCCTCCAGATATCACTTGAATGGATAAACTTGTTTTCTGAGAATTTTTATTCATCCGTTCGACTGTTTTTTTCACTGTATCAGTGGTGAAATGCCCTTGTAAAAATGGTAAAAAATTGGTAAATATTACATGCCTCCGGAGCAGACTTACAACATTGATCTCAATAATTCAGGCACAAGCTTAAGCACGTTTAAAATCATTTTTTTAGCCCTACTTTTTTTCTGAGATCAAATTACAGAGCTTCAGAAATGACTTTTTATGTCCTTTTAGGAACCAAAAAGTCAAAACACAGCTGTGGCGCCCTTTGCGCAGAGAAATTTTTTACTCCTCGGAGCTGTAAATAAACCTACAGTGTCTATGTAGGGAGAGTACGGTCAAACTTTTCGGAGTGAAATTTCATTTTGCAGAGAAGTGCAATTCGTTTCCATTTTAGACATAGCCGACCAATCACGCTCCGCCTTTTAACCTATGTCATCTATGTCGTCTCGATAAACACAAAATTTCAACAATCAGGCTGCAGGTCTCCCATGTTCTGTCAAATCCATGGTCATTACGACTCTATGTACTCTATGGATAAACCTCAACACAAAAATTCGGTTACTTTTTCTTACCGTGCAACTCCATATGTTTCCAGGCGAGAAGCCGTTCAAATGCTCGGTGTGCGCCAAGGCGTTCGCGGACCGCTCGAACCTGCGCGCCCACGTCCAGACGCACTCCTCGTCCAAGCCGTTCGCCTGCGCCGGCTGCGGCAAGTCCTTCGCGCTCAAGTCGTACCTGTGCAAGCACGAGGAGTCCTCCTGCAGCGCCGCCTCCCAGTTCCGCCGGCCGTCCGACGAGGGCTCTCTGTCTTCGGCGACCTCCGACCCGGACACCCTCCTCGACCTCTCCGACTGGACGGCCAGCCCCAAACGAGCGCCCGCCCCCACCCATCGGGCTGACCCGGAGGTCCTCCCCAGGTACTACCCCGTCCTCCCACAGCCCAGGCCCAAGGACTCTCCGTTTGCCGCCATCAGGACGAACGTCATCCAGATCTCCTGTGCCGCATCTAGTGCTCCCATTTCCCGGAGCTAGTTCCCAATTCCGGAATTTTTCAGATTTGCCCGAATTTTTCCCGGAACTTTTGAAAGTCCGAAAATATTCCGGATTTTTTTCTTCTATGGCGCATCCAGCGCTCCCATTTCCCGGAGCTAGTTCCGAATTCCGGAACTTTTCAGATTTGCCCGAATTTTTCCCGGAACTTTTGAAATTCCGAAAATGTTCCGGATTTTTTTAATTTTCCTGAACATTCTCGCGCGGAACTTTTGAAAAAATCTAAGAGGAATCCCGGAGCTTTTGAGAAAATCTAAGAGGAACCCCGGAACTTTTGACGGACGTGGAATGGGAGCACTGGCCGCATCTCCCGTTACCAACAGAGTACTTTTATAGGGAGAATGTCGCAACTTGTGGGTTCACTTCTCATTTGCTTGGCTATCCTAGATTTCAGGGAGCTATTTTGCGATGCTAAGAAGTACCTCCGTGAGAACATATGGATATTCCAGAATTTTTTCTCACGTAACATTCTTTTTCGAGGAACTGCGGGAATATTTCTCCTTGATATTATTGCTTACCTATCTTAGATTTCAGAGAGCAATTTTGCCATGCTGAGAAGCAACTCCATAAGAACATTCGAATATTCCAGAATTTCCTCTCACGTAACGTGCATTTTTGAGGAACTGTTGGAATATTTTTCCTTGAAGTTTTTAAATACAGTAAACCTGGGACTATTCGAACTCATTTGTTGAAACATGTTCCTCATTTTCCCCAAGAACAGCAGCTGAAATACCGACTCTAAGGCTACAGTAACAGCGGCAAGAGGTTATAAACAACGAAACTTGGGAATAATTTTTTTTTTTTTAGCCATTTTTACCAACTTTAAATGTCATATTTTTAATCCTGAAGGTCTTCATCTGACTGAGCGTCTAAACTCGGTACTCTCTTCATGTTGGTACTTTTATTTTCGGGCTCTAAATCTGAATTTTTGACTTGAAAAAATGTATGCTGTCACATTTCATGGTCTTAAAGACTTTCGCCAGGAAAGATGAATAAGACCGCGTTTCTACAGTAACGAAAAGTGTTTTTGAATTTAAAGGAAATTTTCTTTAATTAAGGACACTGTTTAATATGAATAAGAAACAGGACACTTTTTAATGACTTTTTAAGAGGGAAGACCGCAGGCCAAAATGATCTTTTAGATATCTTTCGGCAATATTTCCGTTACCCAAAAATTTTTGAACTTGGAAAAATTTGTAATTTCTTAAAGAGTCACTGAATAAATGAATAGTAAGTTTCTTGACTCACAAAAAACTGCCCTCAACTCAAAGACAATTTTTCTGACTCCTAAAAATTGTCTCTAAGTCAAAGACAGTTTTTTCAGAGGCAAGACTAAACTGAAGTTGTTTAGATGTCTTTAGGCGGGCAGATAGTGATCCTCTTTCTAAAGTCTAAATTAGAATGTAAATCCGGGATTTTTCCGAACATTTTGGAAGACAACAGAAATTTCCCAGATTTTACGATGGCTCCTGACTCTTAGGACATTCGGCTATCATTTTGAAAGCGCTTGGATTCACCCTTCTAAACGAAGAAGAAGAAGAAGAAACAAAAAGAAGAGGGAGCAGGAAATGATTTATGAATTTGTGAGCCTGCAGAAAAAATCACCGTCCTTATGCTTTGATAAAGGAACCATCATGAGAGTATAACAACTAACGGTAGAGTCCCTTTGGAGAGACAACTGTTGAGGCATTTTTAGGGGTGTCGAATCACGATTCCAACATTCGATGATGGCTTAGTGAGAGAAACTGATACAAAATACAATTCCGTAATATGCATATATGGCCAATACTGATGATAAAAACATGTTGAACACTTACGATCTGCATGAGAAAAACCCAGAAGACTGCTTATTCGGCAATATTTACAAAAGTGCTGTAGTGCCAGGGAAAAAAATCTCAACCAATTTTAAGGTGCTGCCAAATTTCGTCTGATAAAATATGAATTTTTTGGAATCATTTAAATATTTTCTGGGATTCTTTGGATCATTTTTTTGCGATTGAACCATGTGTTCCGAAAAAGCCCGAGGAAAAATATGCACGATTGAATTATGAAATATATGGTTTATGAGATGGAAATTTTGGAACTTTTCAGTGTTCATACGGTACTCTTCTTAAGAAAGGCTGCCACGTTATTGTGGGAGCTTATAATTACTCTCTGTCATGTTGCGGAAGAGAGCATGCATTTTGACTTGAGTCCAAGAACATGTATATTTGTATGGTATACCATTAAAATTTTGGATTAAATGAGGAATAAAAGTTTGATCTAAAATAGAGCAGAAATATCAACAACAACCAGAAGTTTTTACTTTATTTTTTCAAGTTACTTTGTTAGCTAGTTAGTTAGATAGTTTGTTTTATAGCAATGATAAAAGAACAACAACGGCAACATCAACAGCAATTATGAACCATTACAAAAATGATAATTAGTAAGTTATACGTAGTTATTTAGTTAATTATACATTCATTACAGTCAACGACGCATTGAGTTCGGATACCCTGGCTGATATTTATATTTTGATTTTTTTTTAAATCTATTTTCGTTTTTGATTGGAATTTTTGTGTAAAAAATGTTTACAGAATGACCACGTATAGGTCAGATTTTTTTTTCAAGTACATGCTGTTTTGCTTTTGGATTATTTTTACACAGAATGAAACTGATTCTAATACGGATTATTTCTTATAAAAAATGGGCTGGGTCCTAGAATTTTGCATCTAAAACGAGAAGATTTATCTTAACTGCCTTTCCGTAATTTACAACGTTTCCCTAGTTGTATCATTTGTGTTTCGATCAACATAATGATCTTATACCTATAAATGACGTTACTGACATTACATTCACAATGTTTTCAATGTAACGCACGTATATTCCAATAGAAAAAGGTACATTTACCCATTTTTGTGGGATGAAACTCCCTTTACGTCAATTACTCAAGGCTACGTTGTTACATGAATAAATTAATATGAAAATTTGACTCGTATCATTTATGGAATATATATATATTGTATTTTTTATGTATTAAGTAGAGCAAATAATTTTTTTTTTTAGGTTTAAAAGTTGTTAAATATTAGACCTTAAACGATTGTCTATCTGTACGAGTATTAAGGTATTTGTATCAAGGTGCTGATCAAAAAATATTTTTAAATACGGTATTTATTTTATAGGATCTATTTTGATGTTATTATTTACAAGAAATGTCATTGTTATGTTATATATATCTAAAAGTGCATGAAATAATAATTATTTAATGTATTGACTTTAATTATTTAATTTGATACTTTTTACCAATCATTATTATAAGATGAATCATCCCCATATACTTATATATTTTCCTGGATATATCTGGTAACTACTCGTAAATTTTGTTAGTTAAGCTCTCTGTAACTGTAAATAATCACAGTAATTAAGTGCTGTTAAGTTTTTGTTCAGTTGTTAGTTAGTTTAAAATAAAGCTCGAAGAAATTCAGCCTTAATGGAACACAAGTGCCAAAAAATATTTTAGCAATGAGTCATTAAAAATGGGAGGGTGATTTGTGAGATAATTTTTGGAAAATTCTACATGAACATTGATTTGTGCTCTTGTCAACTAAAAAGGTGTTAATTTGTAGTCCTTCACAAAAGAAATCATAGTTAAATCTACATGTATCAAGAAATTTTTTAGTAACAAGTAAATAAAAATCATGAGAGGCATTTGCAATGTGAGGAATCGGTTAAATCTTAATGACTTTAAAGTTTAAAGGACTATGAAAAACCTTGTTGGCTTCAAGATTAACGCATTTGGCCACTGACTAAATATTTGTTGCTCCAAAAATCTGTTAAAGTCATTTTATCATGATTCCCTTTTTAAATATGATTAAAATCCTCGTCTTCGGAGGAGGAAAATGAAAATCGTAAAATGGAAAAAGCATTGCACTGGTAAAATGTTTGACTATAATTGTCATCATAACTATTTTACCTATTTTTTTCTTCTTATTTTGAATCAATCCAATGCTTCTAAATACACCCTGCATTTATGACCGTAAAGTAACTTCATAAAAACTCATCCTTTTTTTTTTTTTTTTTTTTTTTTGACTAGAGTCTGATATTTTCCAAAAGTTGTCTCAGATTTCAGACTGAAGCCGGGACCATTGCTTAAATGTGTACATAGTAGAGTTATAAGATGATTTGAATGGTTTTGTTTTTTTGTTTTTTTCAATTTGTATTTTCTTTTGTTTCTTGTTTTGAACTCACTCTTTTGTGTGCATGCGAAGGGATCAAATAGTGCCTTGCTTTTTTGTGTTTTTTTCTTCACTGGTTATTGTATAATTAGACGATCAAAAAAAAAAACCAGCTGCACGAGGTTTAATTTTCAAAAACATACTTCAGAGACACGATCTGTTATTTTTCGTTGTGTATCTTAGATGACCATTTACCGAGACAATCAAATTTAGCTCACTCTGATGGAATCTCGAACTTAAAACCCTTTGATTCAGTGACGTGGTTTGCTGCACGATTTATCGACTGATTTGCCATTTAAATCTATGGAAAAGGATCGATAAACAGGGTGTTTGCCACACCTCAATAATCGATTCTTTATCATAGTTTCAATTGGGGAATTATCGACAATCGATCAATCACCCTCGCTACTGCTTTGATCGAAAGCTCAGCCCAACAACCATGATACACCAGATAAGAAGAGGCCATTTTTAGATTCTTTCTCTTCTTCTTCCTGTCTTTTTTAGGTTAAGTTTATAACTGTGCCAAATGACGAGACGTAACTAGTCAAAAACCAAGTATTTAATTAATTGTTAGTATCACGTAGCTTGTAGAGCCCTAACAATCAAATAGCTTTTTAAAGAAACTGTGACAATTAGTTCTGCAAAAGTGCCAAAATGTTGTAGTATTTGAGGACTTATCATGTAACGATACCGGATGTAAAAAATTACCTTTACGAAACACGCTTAAAAACTGTTTTGCTCACACAAAAATTTAATATGTTTGGCTCTGGCATAAAGTACAGATCTCGAAGATCACATCTCAAGTATTTTCTCAAAATTTTGTCGATGCCA